TAATAAGTAAATGTTGTTCAAATTATGTCGTGTTTTATGTCATTTTCATCAGAAAAATCTCATCAATATGTTAAGAAAAATTTCGGGATAAAAAAAGTAAAATTAAAAAAGATCATATTTAAATCGCTTTGTTGCCTCGACTCACGTTTCATGCTTATCTTTTATTCGCTGTCCTTGTCTACGTTCGGCAAACTACAAAGGCGGGCGCGAGGCTCGATAACGTAGTCCCTGACTCTACGAGTGTCAGGTTTAGCTTCCTTGCGGTCTGACACTTGTGGAGAATATACTGTATACGGCGTGAACGTTTTACTGTCTGACTGTGTGTCTCATTATCCTTCTTAAATATCGCTTGTCTGTTCGTTGTCACATTACCCTTCAGATATATATACATATATTAAATTAATTAAGTTGTTAGATATTTGCTCGATGATATTTCTTAATATATTTCTTCTTTCTTTGCTCTACGCTTCCTGGTATTGTAACAATGATTCTGGCTAGTACTTAAACTCCTGATTGGAAGCAAAGAGTGAACAATATTGTGGAGCATTCAGAGATCAAGAGCACAGAGAGTTTTTGTTCATTTACAGCCTTGACCAAATGTACTGGGCACCTTTGCTATTACAACTTACTGTGAAAACTGATTTTTCTTTGAAACCCTTCGGCATCCTTTGTCGGCCAGTTCAAGGGAAGTTTGAAACAATTGACAAGTGGGCCATGAAATCACTGTGCGATACACAATCTGCATATTGTGTTTCTTCCTATATTTTGAAAGTTAGAAACTTTTCCTTGACATACATCAAAAAAAGAATGAACTATAAGTGGCCATCAATGCAAGTTAATTCTTTTTTTAAAAAATAGGGCAAAGGGTGGCTCAACAAAATATTAACAAAATTAATAAAATATGTTCGTTTTCACATTTCAATAGTTTGCTTTCTTCCTAATACAAAAATATTTTTAGACAATTCATATTTTATAAAGTGCTTAATATTTTGGCCAAGGCTGTACCTAGAAGAGAACGCGATCCTACGATAAACGTATGCATAATATCGCTATAAAATAACGTGCACAATATATGTGTATTGTTTCGTTGGCGTTCAGTGTAATAATAAACTGGTAATAAAATTAACATAGAAAACTGATCGACCACACGTCATCGTTCTATGTTTACCTTATCGAACAATTCTTATTCCTTCGCATATCACTAGCTAGATCAAATTGCGCTAAACTATACCGCTCGTTCAGCACATGAATCATCGAGGGAAGACGTACCTCGTCGAGAAGTGTACGTATCTCTCCTTGTATGATCTTCGCCTCTTTCAGCACCTCCTCGCTAATGTTGACCAATTGACCGTAATCAGTTGCACGTAGTACACGAAAGATATCTGCATTCGCTGGACCTTTCAGTACTCTGTGTTGACCTACGACAAACTCTAGTTTTTTCGTCCAGGGATTGATAAAGGACGACCACTCTGTTTCGAGGACGACGAAGCCACCGTTCTGCACCCCGAACCTGTATGGTTTCGATCTGAAGGAGGCACCTTCGAGCTTGATCACCTGTTCAACGATATATGTATAAATACGAATAATCGGGGAAATGAGAAATTTGATTTTGTACGTCGTTCGGTATCTCGGGACTCGCTTGTGCTTGCACGTTTTCTGCGGATTGCATTCTTTTTTTTTTTCGCTCTGTCATTCTTGCATACATGTTTGTTTATCTTTTTCTCAAGCATATATACTCGATCGAAACCTAAAGATTTTGTTTTTTGTGGGTCTCATACTCACAGTCTCATAGATGTCTTTGATGAAGGGCAGATCCTCGGGATGGTAGAAGTCAAACAGCGAACGACCAACCATATCCTGAGGTAGATAGCCAAAGTATTGAACTACGTCGGGATCAACATGGGATAGATGGCACGTCGCGGTGTGGCGGGTTGTGAATACCGAAGATATAATTGTTTCTTCTGGCACTGCGGATAACAATAATAAGAAGTTCGGGGTCATTCTCTCTCCTGCCAGTTGCTTCCTTCGTGATGAAATTTTTCTTTTTTAGTCTTTATGGTACGCAATCAATGCAATCATGTTTCGATCCGCTGACAAGCCTATACGAATCCTTTTTTGCGCTCTACCTATGTAAACGTTAAAAGAGAATATGTTTTATGATACTGCGCAGATCGATGTACAAACCTCTTGGATTATTACTATATGTTTATGAGTTTCGAACAGACTTGTCGGAAGATTTGATATAAGCGTCGAAATTTCTGTGTCTAAGAGTCGGTTTTTAATAACAATAATACTAGAAATAAATGGACAAGGGAGATATTGCGTAGGAAGAGATAATTTTATTTTTCTAACGATTAGCATGAATATTCAAGCAGGAAAAAATGATAAAGCGTCGGGTATTAGAAGTGTACTGTTCTGAAAAATAACTTCAATCTATCGTCGGATAAGAAGCTAACACAAAACAATAATTTTCAAAGCAGATAAGTAAGTGGCTGATATCTTAATTTTGTTTTATCTTTCAATTTGAATACATGTACACGGTGTATCGTTGTCACGTTGCTAATCAATGTTCACTGTATGTAACATGCTCGTTAAAAACGAAGACGTACACAATAAAAAAAGAAAAAAAAGAAAAACACTCGATTGTGTTACGTTTGTCAGAAATTCACACAGTCGAAGCAATTTTTGTTCGTTAGTCATCTTAGTTTCCTTTTCATCTTTCTCTATTTCTTTTGTTTTGTTGCGGATTAAAAAACACAGTGTGAACAATGTTAATAATGAAAGATCACTACATGCTCGGCAAGCAAAGCATAATATAAGCTTTCATCTATTCGTGAAAAATGGTGAACACGCATATTTATTCTTTTCTGTTGCTTCTCTCTCGGTTACTTGAGTGAACAATCGAAACAGTGGTCTCCAAACTGAACGAAAACGAAAAACCGGCCAGGTGATAGGAAAACGAATCAATGAAAAGACGACAAAGATGAGAGACTATCAGCATCGTCACGATTATCAATAACATTTCTAATTTAATAGAAATTACCTTCTGTTTAAGGCACTTCGCCATGGAAACCATCAAGTCATATAGTATCATCGAGGAGATTAGACTAACGAAAGGATTCGACTATTATTATTCTTTTTTTTTTTTCTTACCGATAAAACGAATTCGTAAAATTATTGCTTAAAACTTGTCTTTAAATTTTTTTAAATTGCAGAACAGTTTTGGCTTTTCTCTGTTAAAACGAAACAAACTTATCGAATCTGTTTGTCAGTCGACTCTCCTTGAAGATCTTCAACTGTACTACCTTTATATGCAGAATGAACAGGTTGGGCAGTAACCACCAGGAACATTGTCTTGTGTTGTTGTTCAGTCGCACGGTCTCGAAAATCTCTGAACGAGAGGGTCAAATGAAACGGAAGGTACAAATTCGACCTTGCCTCCTTATACTGATCGTTCGATTGCCGAACAAAGGATCTCGTGTACTTCCGCAATCCGCAGAACAAACTCGCTCTTCTACCGTTAATACCTGATGAAAGAATCATCGCTGATCGTCTTAAAATTTAACGTTTAAGAACATTTATAACAAAACATTCTTCTTTACGTGAAATTACCGAAAAAAAACTTGACACAACGGTGTTAAATTACCTGCCTTTCAGATTATTAACATTTTCTTTGTATCACAAATTTTTTTAAAAATTTATTTTTGTAAAAATAAAATGAGAGAAATATGAAATATGTAATACCTTTCGGTCTATCTTCTTGCGGCGACACTATTCCGCTCGTAATCTGGTCAGCTAGAGTGGCCTTATCCTTGGGATGGACATAGTCGATGAAAGAACGTCCGATCCAAGCGTCCTTGGGATATCCTAGAGCTGTGCATATTGAGGGAGTCGTGTATAACACGAGGCCGTCATGCATCGAAATCACTGCACAAAATCCCTCCTATAAGATACAATGTGAGTGTGTTACCACCGATTCATGATAAATCGGGGAGTGCTAGTAGATTTGTCCATAGCACGTAGATGACACTGAATCTATGTCATCAAGATTGTCTTCATAGTTAAATCTCAACGACTTCTTTTCTTTTTTTTAACGTTACGTAGCTTGTAGAAAGAACTCATCGCTACTTTGTACTACTTTGTGCTCGATCTCAGGACGTTTACATTCTTTGCTCGGATTTGTACGAATAGTAACATGCAAATTTTTAGGTGAATTCGTCATAGGACGTTTTATTACATATACTAACACCTTCATGATATTTTGGTTTGGTAAATTTCATACACTATGCATAGAGAAACGAGTTGCATTTCATTATCTCATTACTTTTACAAAAAAACAAGAACAGTTTCTAATAAATTAATAGGTTCGAATAAATTCTGAGTATAATTCTCTTCGAAAACTACGTTACACATAAAATACAAAGTCGATTAGTGAAACCTTCATACACGTAATAACCTGTTTGAATCGATCAATTGAACAACGCGTTAGCGTGACAATTAAAAGAGAAACAGAAAAGAAAAGAAGTTCTAAGAAACTTAGAAATCTCATCGACTGCTAGAATGTCGTTTAGCTAGCGGCTATTATTAGTTCCGATAAATCTCCTTTCTCCATGCATAACACCACTGAAACCTTGCAACAATAGGACTACATACTTTGTTACATCATCGTACAGAAAGCCAAACTAAATTGTAATAAGTAAAGAAGAAAAAGAAAAACAAGTGTCTAATATAACTGATATGGGAAGCAGTATGATAAATATAATATTAACAAATATTAGGTAACAGGATGCTTCCTCCGAGCATACCCGATCCTGGTCCTCCCTAAAAAGGAGCCCCTCGAACGACCACGATCGATCGAGCCTCGAATGACATGACTACTGTCTTTTTCTACGTGTGTGTCCTTCTACCACAATTAACTAGTTAAGAGAAAATCTGTTTCCCCGTTGCTTTTTTAATTAATACTAACATTGGCTTGAGAGATGGAATCATCCAGAGGATTCGTACGAGAAGCAAGTCCTGCTTCCACATCTGTGACAGTATCGCCGTTGTGCTCGCCAGGATCCGTTGCATCCACCAATTCAACGGTGGCTATTTCTTCTTGTATACACCCAAGAAAAATTCCCCTCGTTATATTACATTCTCCATGGACACAACCGACCATGTTTGCTTGATGGGACATGGATTATTTTCACACCCAGGTAGCACGGTCACATTTTCGAGAACATTTCATGGACGTACCCGAGTTTCTTTAACTTTGTTGGACGATTTATCGGATGAAACCTTTTTTTTTTTCATCGTACGTCGATCAATTAATTTTGGAGGATTTTTGGTTGGACTGTTCTAAGTGGTCCTTTAGACACCTGAGCAGGGGGCGGATATTCTTGAAGGGAAGATAGTAACCAAGAAAAGTGATCAACGTGACAATGTACAAATAGGCCAGATGGATTCTGGTAGAGGTTTTCGTAGTGTGTTCATCTGAAGACGTAACTTAGTGATGTCTCTAATAGCGGGAGAGATAATTTCTAATTAAATTGAAGATGTTTTAACACGTTGACTGCCACGGGGAATTCGTCAAGTTCGACTCTGGACACTAAAAATACTTTATTCGATAGGAATTATGATTTTTTGCTACTTTTTATGATAAAATGAGTCTTGTTTTTGAAAAAAAAACATCGCCCGAGTTATCTCGTGACTGGCAATCAACGTGTTAACGACATCGAAGGAAAATGGGGCGTCCAAGAAGCGTTTAATACGTGACCTGCTGCATGGGTGGTGAAGTGATGAAGGATGTGGGGATTGCAATGTTTCCTTAGTCCAACAGGACGACAATATCGTGACAACGTTCCGCATCTTACGATACGGAGTAATGAACCAACAGCTGGAGATCTTTCTTGAAAAAAAAAAAGAGATAAATGAAAAATTAAAAAGAAAATGGTACAATTTTAACCTAGAGCTCTACAGGTGAGTCCTTGAATAACACACCAAGCTGGTACCACGGCAATTTTTACTTCTCGACTCTCGTTCACCGAGCAACCTATACGTGTATTAGAATTTTGTTCTAATCAATCTGTTCCTTGATAATCTTATCGATACACTTGGTCGCTTCTTGTTTCAACAATAAAACGTGACGCACGTTGTTGAATTTTTCAAAAAAACTACACATTGACCAATCGAGATTTTACAAACACAATGTAGTTACACTTCGTGCAACGAACTAGTAAACGAGCATCGTGATCACGTAACCGATCTATTCTCGCGCTTAAATGTGTCCTATTACAGGACGCTGCGCAGGCTCGTAACGACCGACGAAAAAAGATATTAAAAATTATATAAATAATTACGTAAATCATAGGCGCTTCTCGATGTTATATAAATCTCGGTCCAGTCCGAGCGTCGCTTGTTGTAAGCTGGACTAAATGGTGAGCTCGGAACCTGCCTTTTGTCCATAAAATAGTACTGTGTGATTATATAAAAACAATAAAAGGAGAGATCGGTTCAAAATATTTCGGAACCGACATTCTCTTGGACATAGATAATTTTCTTATGTACCCATCCGTATAACTAAATGTCTTCCTTCGTACCTTGCAACGATACATGACGTTAATTAACAAATCTCCGTGTTAATTGTCGGGTCCATTAATCGTTTCTAAGTAAGTTTCATTCAACGATCGTAATAATGCACGAATTGTGACGATACAGAATAGACATCTTTCAACATTACCAGCAAACGTTCCCTTACAGTTCAAGCTAAGGGATTCTCGTTGTACAAATAGTGACAGTGGTAACAAAAGGATAGCTAAGACGAAAAAGGATCGATATTTTACCCTGTCCCTCGTAGGGTTTCGTTCGCGTTGGCCAGAACTGAGATTAATTGCCAGGGTAACAACAGTCGTCATTACTCCACTGTTTCAACATTTTCTTTTTGGGCATGACTTACTATCAGTAGAACGCTCTCCTACGAAGAGGGCAACGAGTGTTAACCAAGTGTTACCGAATTCCAAGTAGACGAACCCTTCAGATCCATTGAATCTCTCTTCTCTCTGTGTTTTACTCAAATTAGATAAGCGTACGTGAGCAGAAAATAACGAATTTAAAAGACGCTCGATCGTGTTGAATTTCGAGTGAAAGAGATGCAATCGACCGTTTTGGATTCAACACGAGGATCTGACGGACTAAGGGAACCATGGGGGTGGACGAGGGGAACGGGGTGATGGTCCTTCGAAGCCTTTGGTTGTGAAGTAAAGGGAACCTAACTAAAGGGAAGAGTGCACGAAACTAAATTACATTACGCAAAACTGTCGATCTTCTTCATAGTTCGCGAGAATAAAAAAAAAATTACAATTCTTGAAAAATGTTTATTCAACTTCGTAAAACTAACTAATGTAAAAAAAAAAGTCGTAAAATTTTACGTTAGATTGAGTTCCGACAATCCATATCGACCGCGAAGCTCGAAAGGAGCGTTGATTTCGGTGAATTCAGTAGAATCAGTAGTACGAGCAAACGATTAATCCGACGGTAAGAAAAATTTTGATATTCGTTCTTTCTCCGGTGATACTGGTTGTATAACCGCGAACGATTACAAGCCAATTTATAAACTCGAGCTATTTCAAAGACCATGAGCGTTTCAAAGGTTCGTACAGTTAACGTGCACTTTCTCCCCCTACGATTTTAGATCGCAACCAACCTGGTTTCTTTTCAAGTATAGGTTTCGTTGGGACGGCGACATTATAAGACACGGCCTCCGGCGGTGTGCCGGCACTTTTCAGGGTAATATCTGCCTCAGCATTAACAGCCAAAATCGCCTTCGACTTCTTCTTCTTGTGTTCTTTATCCTTTCTTTTGCTGATTGGCTGCGGTAGTGCTTCATTGCTATGTTCATATAGACATTACATGTCAAGTGTAAAAACTTCTAACCTTATCTAGCGGACAGATCCAAAAATTAGTACAAAAAAGGCGTAGGTTTGGAGTGATGGTCAATTAAGGTGCTTTTGTCTAAGCTTTGTGTCACCGAGGGATATGTAATATTCTGCGACGTTGTACCTACCCATGTTTGATAAAATGTTCGATGAAAGTGGTTAATGGCGAAGGTGGAGGATCTTTCAATTTACAAATAAAGCAATTGCTGTCGATGAAGTAAAGTAAATGGCGCTTCGTACCAAAAAAAAAAAAAAAAGAAAATCTTTGTAGTAGAAATTTAAGGTAGTTAAATCGTGAGAATCGTGACAGACTTGTAGCCAGAGTAAGTTCCGCATTTCCAGCAGAGCTTTCGTAAAAAACGGTACGTTTCAATTCACTGATCTCTTATCGTGACGTTTATTCAACTATTTTTCTGGAAAAATCTTATCGAAGTACCCTTAAGGTGTACCTTAAAATAGAACGTATCAGTTCTCCATGCAATTGCTATGATACCGTGATATTAGAAACGATGATATTACTCCGTACACTTCCGACGAGTTGTGATATTAACTGTACATGTTACAAAAATACATACATATGCTTCCCGCTGAGTCAACAAATCAGAAATTTACTAGATATGCATGCGAACATGAGCTGCAGGTTAGCATGCCGCGTTAACTGTTGCTTCATCTGTTAAAGAAAGCCTTGATGCTAAAGGACAACAATAAATGGATATAAGTAGATTCATGATATCGTAGCTCAGAGTTGTGGGAGTGGAGTGAAACTAAAATAGACTAGGCAGTCAGGCAACTTTCTCCAGGAAAAACATGAACAATAAAAATACAATACGTAACAAATGCTTTAGGTCATCAAATAATGACTGCACTTGTTATGTAACGAAGAGAAAGTGTATTTCTCTAACGATAATACCTTACAAGCTTTCTCCAAGATAAGGCCGATCATTTAACGTGCATTTCCGTGTTCTGTAATACAGTTTGAAAATGTCAATGTATTCGAACAACTTCCTGGTAACTGAGCGTTTCTTTAAACGTATACATAAAAAAAAGAATGGGTACTTTGAATTCACGTACAATGATTCTTCACTTCACAAAATTAACCCTTTCGCTGCGAAAGACGTGTGTGAAACGCGCTCTGTAAAAGTGGTCACTCGTTTATAAAGAGCGTACACATACGCCCATTCAATATTTACAATTCCACTGTCCACTGAATGCACCAGACATTTGACTATCACGAAACAGTCGATTTTCAATCGTAGTACCTTTATTTTTATGCCAGCATTGAACAATAACTAGTTTCATCCAGTACGTCCAGTTTTGTTTTAAGCGTGCCGTAACGAAAGGGTTGAACGGCCGTAAAATTAAATTAACAACAAGCTAACATCTTTAAACGTCAATCTTCTAATTTTGAAAGGAAGTTTGTCCTTCATGAAGTTTGTCCTCGTCATGAAAAGCCGTCACAGAAATTATATTAGCCGTACACTCCCCGAAATTTCTATGAAGTCATCTTCCTTTTCGCGGATATTTGAAAAATATTACCAATTTTATTGCTTCGTCGTATCTGTATTTATATTTTGTTGACATTCAGATACATAGAATGTACTATCTGCATATATTTTGCATCTGTTTTGATCATCTGCGTAAAGCAGAATACAAGTGCGAGTATTCTAAAATTATTGTTATTAAAATTCATAGAAATTGCGTATTTGTTATAATTTCATTCGTCTAGGAAAAGTGTTATCAAGTGAGAAAAAAGCATCGGCCGAAGCTTATAAATATATGGGCTGTTTTAATCGTACAATGGCGAAAAAAAGTGATAAACAATTACGTGAATTTATCCGAAAGTTACTCGTGAAGGTAGCACGTTGAAGTTTTCACGTATGTACGTCATTATACCCGAGACAGCATTGAAGTAACGCAAATGGAATCATAATTGCGAATAACCCTGACCCTTACAAGTCGCGTAGCGAATTGTAGAATGATTTCCATACCTATACACCGTTCTTCTCTGCCCTATAGTTTCCTATGAAAACGCTATCGCACTATTGGCCCGAAATGTGCATGTTGCATCGGCGCGGACCAATAACCATGAGACGATACGAGGTGTGGTGTCATTCGGCTCAGTAAACGTTCTGTATCGTCGTTAAAACTGCCGTTCGCCTCTTTGAATCGTACGACACGATCAACAGTTTCTAAGAATTAGAACTTTCTCGTTCGAGAGAAAAAAGGAAAAACAGTTCCATTTGTGAGAGGAAAATTCATCGAAAAACTCGTTTAGCCGAATCGAGAAGGTTTCGAAGGGAGGAACAGTTGGAAGCCTAACTCGAAGTCTGCGGTATCGTAACGTTGTAATGTGAAATGCGAATTCAAAGTACCATTTTTCTTTTTTTATATATATAGTTCTTAGTTTCTGATTATATCGGCGGAATAACAAAAAATAGACTGGCTTTAATAGTAATTTATGGATTCGATGTTGATTTATTATTACAACGGCGCGGCCTATTCGGATTATGCAACAATACGTGGGGATATCTCATGCCACGTAGGCGACACTGATGGCGACATTTCAGGCACGTGGCATGGCACATGCACCAATGTTTACAGCTGCAAGTAAGATCGTTTGTGTGCGCTTTCTCGTAACTGAATGTAATCGTTCCTACTGCACATACGTGAATACGATGCTAAAAATCCATCATCGGTGCGCTGGTCTACGTGCTGTGTCACCTTCATATTCGAGATAATTATGGAACGGTTGTATTAGTCACACGGACATACCGGGGAATAAAAAGCATACGACAAATTTACTTACGTTTCATTAAAGAAAAGAAAAAAAAGAAGTGGGGAGAAATTTGACAACATGTGACCATATCGGATTTATTTGAGGATCTTGTGATGTTAACGAAAACCGTTGTGCAACTTTTCGAAAAATTGTAATTATACAGAAGGAAGCAATCAAATGAGTTTGCACCGCCATTGATAATTCCACTATTGTTACTGACTTATGATGCAGAATGAAACGCTAGTGACGCTCATTCCAACGTGCACCTCTGTAAACGAGCACGTTCTACTTAGCAAACTCACGTTAGCATTCGTCCATTCAACATTGTTGGTTACAGCAGTTGTGTATGTACATATCGCAATTATTAATTTTAACTTATACCTGCTTTTCTTCCTTTCCGAGTTATAAATACACATTTTCCAACAGTTGAATAATATATAGTTTGAAACTTCTCTTTTTTTTTGCGGTATACCTTTTATGAGATTTAATAAATTACCGGCCTATATTTCACGGTATACCTTCAAATTTACGTACACGGAAGTGTTTCCTTATATTCATTTGTGTACTTTTTTTCTCGACGAATAACACAATCAGGGATAACACGTCGGTATAAAAAAAGTTTAACAATACGAAACCGTAGATAAATAAATAAAAAATTAAATAAATCCTACATATATTTTTGATCAAGCGCGATGTAAATAAATATATACGAATGGATACTTTTTCCAAGTAATCTCTTGAAAATAGCTCACGGAGAACTAAGGAAGAAAGTTACTTTTCCACTGGAGTTCTTACTCTTATTTTCTACTATAGAAGTCCAAGTCGTAACGACTCAGTATACCGGTATTCGACGTGTACAAGTAAGATCCTTACGATCATGAACACATACACTCACCGACGATTAACATATACCTTTATTTGTGCATTTTTTGGTGGACTGAGAGTGGAGAGGGACAGTATTTTTGGGAAAATGTTATGTATGCAAGAGAATCGACTGTCATCGTGATTGCTTCGATCGTATTAACTGTATGATCTTAAGGGACAGGAAAGTTAATTCAAACGATGTGTTACCTGGATCCAAATGTCGAAGGACGCCTACCGCAATAACCGCTACTTTCGGAGCGGTTGCTGTTTCTCGAAATCGAGCTGCCACTACTGAAACACACATCGATAAATATCGTTAATTTTCGTTAAAACATTATGTTGTTATGCACACACCACCAACTTAAGAAACAAAAATAATACATTTGGAATTTAGACGCGTTTATCGTAATTACGTAATGTAGTCACGTTAACGACTGACAATCAATCGACCAAACTACTTGTAGGTGGCTTATCCGTCCAGTCTGACCTTGACTGTCTCTTACTACTGATTCGTACTTGTACCCTGGTTTAATTTTTCTTCGGATACATGTAACTAAGTGTATTATTATTTGCACGTGTTAGAATATGGATTATTTTCTCGAGAATTAGAAGAACATGATTTCGAAGACCTCGTGAATCTACGGGATCGCTACGTAACTACGAGACATACTCTTCTATCGACCGCTTATCAGATCCACGTGTTATGACTTGTACCTTTCCTGTGTGACACCACCCCTAGAAAAATTTTCCTTAACCATCCAGCCGCGGGCGATTTACATATTTCTCTACATAAAATCGTAAGGAGACTTTTAATGCGACACGAAAAAAAATAAGTCGAGAAAAAGGAAATATTTGTTATTTATTAACTTACAACGACAAAAATTACAAAATTCATTCGACGGGGAAATAACGTTTCCGGTTGTTCAGATACTCTGAAAATTCAACGCGACGCGATAATAGCGTAGCCCACCGAAATTAACATAACAAGTAGAACGCGATTTCGGTGTCGCCGCGGCTCAAGGGTTAAGAATTGCGTTCACATCCCCCTTCTCTATTATCAGAGCAATGTTCAAAGCATTAGATACTTCAGAACCAGCATCTCCGGCTTGCATGGTAAATAACACTTGCCTAATTATGAACATTCTCTAATCCTCACGTAACACACGTTTTGCTTAATCCTTTCGCGACCGAATAATTTTTTCAAAGAATTTCTTATTCATCGCGTCTGCAATGAATACTAAATTGAGATGAATTTCTGTTCGAGTATACTCAAGTGTGTCACATACGTCTCACTGATCACGAATAGGTTAATCGTTCGTTTAAATGACCAAATAAACTAATCTTATCGTAAGAAAAGATAAAAAAGAACTTTCCAGTCAAGTGGAAAATCATGAACATTCTCGATCTAACCGATACCGTGGCACGCAAATACTACATCCTCCAGTTGTGTGCGCTTCATTGGGAAATGGGTACATAGGCTCGCGTAGAAGGTGATTGCAAAGGCGCATTTCTCAAACGGTAGGAACGGCCTCGGCCCATTGGCCGATTAAACCCACGTTGAGAAAGTCACGCGAATTTTCTGACACAAAATCTCTTGAAACCAGTTACGGAATGGAAAAAAAGGATGGATCACATGTTCGGCAAACGTGACCACAACCGATCGGCCCTTACGACAGGGTCTTTCTGGCCTTTCACTGTCCTCGTTATTTCCGAGGGAACAGGCACGGGGCTCCTACATTTATTGCACCTCGTTTGGCAGGAAAAATTATTGCATAAGAAGGTCTGTTTCACGCTCGTGGCCCCGTGACTAGAACCGTTGAACGGGACCGTGATCCGGCTATCGATTCTGTTCGAGGCTCTGCCTCGAATGGTGCCAAGGAAACGGTGTATTAACGAACTAGGAAATACGATAAAACGGAAACCGCGAGTGGAATTAATCAAATTCTAATTTCTATTCTCGTCGCAAACGACGAGGTACGTTTTGATAATTTATCGTAAAAATAAAGGTAAAACAATCTTTTCTTTTTTTAATTCGACCCTCTGCAACGCCATGTGACTTGGAAGTTACGTATACATTTACCTATATTTTATAGTCTCAGAACTATATCAATTTCTTTTATAATAATTACAATTTACGAATTTACAATTGTTACATTTATTTTATAACAATTAGTTTTTATATTTACTCTTGCTTCTCCCATCCATCGAAATGTAAAATTGCAATTCTTCTCGTGAAGGAAGGAGAATCGGGTTATAGAGGGTTGAGAATTTTCTGTTGTATATATAAAAATACGACTATCTTTAACAAAATTATAGTTTTGCTGGAGAAGAATTATTATAATCTCATTTTACTGTTTCGTCGTAAGGGTGAGAAACGTAATTGATCGAAAACGTTTATTAAAAGCAATTTACGATCTAATCTTTCTATGTTTGTTACGAATATTCGTCCTATTATGCAATTTAAATGATAAAGTGCAAGAAATATCGTTTGATCGACGTATGGTGCAACATCCGGGCATTTTCCAACGGGACATCACGTTGCATACTTCGTCGAGTATTTCCAGCGTATGCAATTTCGCTCGAAAAGCAACACGTGAGAATTCAGAATCTGTACATCCATAATTACCGACAGGTACCAATCGTTTGAGTAGCATATATCATTCACCAGACTCGCCCGTGACGTAGTCCTTTATAATTGTAGAGAATTGTCATTTACTGTTAACCAAGAGAATGAGCCTAGAAATACAACGTGTATATTGAATTACATCTGACCAAAAATATCTTCTTGAAACAAACTTCTGCAGAATTTCTAATATGCAACTTCCAAACGGTTGCTCAATCGAAAGCCTCGCCTTTTAGTTATTATAATGGAGTACAATAATAGAACGATTGAAAATCAATTTTACTTATTTTTTATTAATTTTTATATCATTTAGAAGATCAATTTTATTTATTTTTATATTATTTGAAACTGATTTTAATTAATGCTTCATTTCTTTCATTTATTTTATAGCAACCTTCTATAGGCAATCTGGGTCGTTCATGACCCAAACCAAATTTCACTCTTATATTTCGAAACGAATTCCTATTTTTATCGAAAAAAGTTTAAAATTCTTTAAAAATTAAAAATTTTTGATTAAATTAAGTTAAGTTAAATTACAAAAGTTATAAACATTAAAAACTAGTGTATAATGTACCTAGTAGGGACTTCAATAAGTATCTCAGAATTGTTTCAGATTTTTTAAAAACCTAGAACAGTAAAAGAATTTGGACATGAATGTATACGACCCAGATTGCCCGCGAAGTGTGAAAAAGTATGTTTGCCAATGGAGGGTTAATCAAATTGCTTCTAAGAATACGTTGATCTCGAATCTCATAAATCTTGCATCTTATGTCGTAAGTTGTTTGCGAGATCGATAGAATTCAGACGAACGGGAAGCATTTTAATCAAACACTTTCGATAACGCAGTAATCCTCCATCTCCCCTACAGCTCATATTCGATCGTCCTGATTTCATCAGGTTTCGCAAACCGCGCATAGGTGTACTAAATGCGAACGTGGAAATGCAACCGGCATGCTTCACCGAGAAACTGGTTAGCCTTAACCGTAGTGTTCGAGTTTCTATCCTTCTTGTTCGCCGCGCTTTTCATCTACCTCTTACCTGCAACGTCGATAAACTGTGTCAATGCCAGTATCCTGCGCTAATGCGCACCATAGTGATGCTGGATATCCTAGCGTGTATTCAAAATTGTTCAACTTTCGAATTATCAAGATGAGTCAGACGTGTCTACAAAGTTCTCAAGTGAAATTTGACGGAATTGGAAAATGTGATCGAAACTAAGATGATCATAGTTTTTTCTCTTTTTTCAAATAATAGGGAGAAAGAAATCTCTATGGACGCATGCTGGACAGTTCAATTGAGTTTGATGAAACAGTGATCAACTGATCAAGGATCAATTTCTAAGGATCCAATAATCCGATCGATCGATTCTCTTTCTCGCGTTACGTCCATAAGACAGATTTATTCTAGTGTTATTACAGTTTCGAGTATTTGAGTATATACACTATTGCTCAAAAATTCAAATACAGTAAAACTGAGAATAACTATAGAAAAAAAAGAACGAATTAGGAGAGAATGATAAACTTCACTCTGTCGAGTTCGATATGAAGAAACTTTGAATTTGATCAACGAAATTGGAATTTCGTCGACTTGTATGAAATGAATTGAAATTAATTCAATTACACTTTCTGCACTTTTGCGTTGTGCGATCAAACTTACGAGCGGCAGGGTGTATGCTAAAATGAAAGCGAAAAGAGGAGCGCGTATACAGCGTGATCAGTTAAGGAATTCAACTGATTTTTTCCTCTTGTAAAGTACATCTGAATTTACAGAATTTGAACTATAGACAGGAATTTATATTGCTTTATCTTGTAAAGGATAGATATAAAGTAGCAATCAGATAGAACAATGGAAATTGAAGTTGCAGGGATTTCTTCGTCGAGTTTATAGATGCAAATCGTTACGAAACTTTCTTACACCTTTCGTAAGGTTTCGGGCTCCTCGATAAAGCGTTGTTGAAATTCCAACATATCGAAATGTGCACTTTCTACGTGTGCAAAACGATTTATTGTTCAACGTCACGCATGAATTTTCGAACGAGACCGATTAGCTTCGTTTATCCATTTATAGAATGATACACGGAAACGTGTTGCAAATTAAAGTTACACAACAATTTATCCGACTCGTTGCAGAAATAGAACAGATATGAAAAGATCGGAAAGCATAAAAAAAAAAGATTACATGTTAATAGCCGCTGGATTTTTCAATGTTTGTCTGCAGCTGCATTAAAATAGCAACGTAATTAACATTTGCACTGTTTCTCGTTGACTTCGTCTACAGTGCAAAAGCATTCATTATACACGATCTGACATGAACGCTCATTAGACGTTTGCATATACATACAAACATACATAGATGACACATGATGTGTATAATTGGATAAGAATGCATTAGTGAATACTTTTTAACAGACAATTTATACACTTCTTAACAACGTTTACACGTTAAAATTATTCTTTCTGCAGTTTACTTTCTTTTCTTTTTCCAATGAAAAATACGTTGTAAATGTAATTTATTACGTAAACAATAGTACGGTTATTTTCGACATTATTATTGGCTTATATGGAATATATTTCAAAACTGAAATAAAATAAAAACTTATATCTTTATTTATTTCTAATAACCTAATAATTTTCGAGACTATTTTATTTTATGATTTCATTAATTCTCATGTATTACAGTATGCATAATTTCAAGTGAAAATAAGGGGGATGGTGCAATGAGAATGGGTCTTAATTCTTATTGACATGCAGTTACATTTTCGATAGTTCTCAATGTCTCGATTTTTTGTTAGTTACAATAAGCGTACTTTATTTGTTTTGTAAAATATCATAGTTTTATTTAAATACTTTGATGAAATGATATATGATATGAATTTACTGATCAAGATTAATGTTTTGCGACATTCGTAATTCAAAATCAATGGCGGTATATTCAAATTAATGTTCGTAAAGTAGAATGAATTAAGCGTGCACAAGAAGTGTACGCAATAAACAATAGAAGAGATACATACCTCCGTTGCGATTGACTATTGCTACAGGTGTTAGAATATCCGGAATCCGACACCTTAGCATTCTCAGGGGATACTTCTTCCATAGTACTCTCCTTAGGGTGACGTATCTTTCTGGTGATATCCGTTAAATCACAACACTGCTACTAAATTAAATAAACTCGATGTTCACACATCATTTCTATATATTCGTGGTGTTAAAAGTGGTGAAAACTGATAAGAAAAAATGTGAAGGCTGATTGTCCGTATTAGCACGAACAAGAGAGAACAAAAGTGTTTATTTTGTTTTTCAAATGTATCGTGATCACCGTTAATAAATTAGATTGCAAATGGCGTACCACCATTAATTATAAAAAATAATTATATTCATTAAGGAACAGGTGTTTTCACTATATTCCCTAATGGTTTCACAATAATAATAAACACCACAATGCGTTCCAGGCGGCGATATCTATGAGTACTGAAACCGCACCGTACCTCGTATATCTTTCGCGCGAAGCGACTGTTCCGCATCACGCAGCACGTTCGGTAACACGTGAGTGCTACCCCCTCTATTTCTCAGTTAACCTATATCGATGCAAAACGTGCCCCACTTAAACCTCTCGAACGATAAACGTGATTAAAATAGTCTCCTCCCCACGACTTTGCGCTCGTATTTCAACGCAAAAGTTTACTGGCGCGAAAACCCTATCTTGCATACTGTTGCGACACCTGCTGGTTGCTTCCTCCATGCATGTTCAAATTCAAATCTAATACGATAGATCGTATTTGGAAGTCGGTTAGGAATAACATGACGTATTGTTTTTCTATAAAAATTATTTTATTGCACACATTATGAACATATCAAATAAATATGCAAAAAATAAATTATAAACATCATATATACTTCAAAAGTGCACTATAAAAGTGATTTTATACGTTCGAGATACACAATAGTTGTAATATCTTACTCTGCTATGATATCACAGTCATCAGGTACGCATCTTTGAATCCTTGAGGAATCCTGAAAGTTAAAAGAAAAAATATATCAGCTCAGTAAATTATAGATACTGTGTGAAGTAGGATGTTCTGTTCAGCATAAAAAAAATAAGTGGAAGTCAGCGTGAGGTTTTGAATACTTAATGTGTATTTTAATATCACCAAACAAGTCAGTTACAGTCTCCTAAAACATCATTGCGTATGGTCATTGAGTAAAACAGTCTAATACATGTACAAAAGTGTCCATCATAGAAGGTTCATGTTGTGCGTCAATTATTGGTATTTGACGAATTGTGATCATGGACATAACATTAATTCCCTAAGAAAACGTACTTCCTTTAACGAAATTTGATCTAGTTGTAGAAAATAACATATCGATATATTTTCTGCAAATATATCTATACACACGAACATAAGTGATGTTCAAACATTTCTAAAACAAGATTTACTTTAAGATTTACATATTACTTCGGCAGAAAATATAATTTTTTCACTGTTTTTTTTATATCTGCAAACGTTTACCTGTATACATAAATTTAATGTCTAAAAGGAAATAATAAAGTATTATTAAATTTGATTCATAATAATTTGATCAATTAGTCACTTTATTTTATCAAAATCAAAATCATTTAATTAATTCTGAAATAAAAAATGCAACTCTAATCTGCACAAAAATTTCTTCTAAGTACGCATTCACTATATTTTCTTCATAAAAATATAACTTTGTGAAGATAATTTTGAATTATATTAATATGCGAAATCAGAATTGCAAAGTACAGAAAGATGAAAGTACTATTTTGTAGAGTATATCTTGTTTTAGAATTTATATTCTATGAAATATATTGTTATTCGTCATCGCGAAAATATTTCTTGAAACACATACAAGAAATAAATTATTTTACGTTTTCTTTTATACATACTATAGCTAATAAAAGAATAGTACAGAACTATTGGATATAAATTATAAACAAAAATATGTTGTACTAATTCTAAAGCACAGGTTACGTTTTAAGCCTGCGCGAATAGTTAAATTTAATATTATAACACGCAACTTGTTTTAGAAACAAGAATATAAAATATTATGAGATAATTTTAGTTTATTTTTCTTTTTTCTTTAAATCTTTCTATTTCCCTCATTCATTAATTTACAAAGGACTTATTTTTTTTTCTTTTAGAAATTCATTTGAAAGAACTTTCATTTCAATATTAATTTTGATATAAAAGTATATGCATAGAGAAATAGTCTTACCTCTGACTAATACCTGTAGTATATTATCATAACAACAATAAACCAACAATATACTTTCCTTTTGCTAAAGAAAGAAATTCTAAATTTAACTAGTTTTGTATGTTCTATATATTCTTAAATCGAGTCTTTAAGATCACTTTTCGCACAGGCCTCTTAAAATAATAAAACCAGGAAGTCAGGTGTACGTGTAACGACATGTAAGGATAAAGTAAAGTAGCGTTAAAGTTTCAGTAACGTTGAAATCGCGAACGTAAGCAGTAGTTAAAAGTAGGTAGTTGGAGTAGTTTCCTTGGATGCGGGCCCGACGTGGTCAAGTGAGTCTTAAAATTCGTCTCTTTTATTGCGTGCGTCCAGCTTGTGTATACCAGTCAGTCTGTGAAGACAAATAGAAAAATTACATTTTCTCCTGTTTTTCAAGTAAGGTAATCGTCAGTTAC